GGGACGCGTTTTCTCGAGGTACGCTAGATTCGCCCCACGCGAACTCCATCCAACGGCGACGGCGGTATTTCCCTCAGAGATCTCAGGGTCCCGAGATGACTGGGATTTATTGGAATGGAAAGTAGATGGAATGATTCTTGTGCGGAAATGCTAGGAATTCCACCCACTCAAACTTTCCTCCGGTACCTAGGTATGTCCTACCTACCTAGGTACTTAGAGGAGTTCAACCCTGAACGAAATTTTATTAGAGAACACACAAGGTCTGCACAGCAGCAAAATGGATCAACCTCAGATAGAATGTTTGCCGAGGTTGCCCACTGTGCCCTCATAATGGTGCTCACAGCAGCTTGATCATGCCGCAACCTACATGTGATCTTGGCAGCATGAGTTGCCTACAAACGTGATATATACGTTAAGACTCCATCGCGAACCAAACCTACAGAGCAGCTAGTCTAGGCGATAGCCTGAACAAAGAGCGCTGACTCTTCTTCGTCCGAACAGATCTGGGTATCGAACTCTTCAAGGGCTCAAATGCAGGGCACAAGCTAGCGCAGAAGCAGTAAAGCGTGGAATCTCCGCCACGAGTCCTCGATTCCGTCTGGGCCCTCACCAAGCTCACCTAGGCAGCTCCAACATGGCATCTCCAGCAGCCCACAAGCCGCGACGGCGGCGAAATATTGGAGAGGGCTCTCTCGCCCAGGTTGCACACGGTACACTCGATCTCGACCACTCGACCAACGCACGGAAGCCCGCGTTTCCTCTCGTCGCGTTTCTCTGGCCAGCCAAGGGCACCGTCTCGCAATGGGTTACGATACCCCTCATCTTGATGGCAGTTGGCCTGTTCAGATGGACTGTCAGCTTGTGGGGCTATTCTGGATTCCAGTCACCGCCAATGCACGGTGACTTTGAGGCCCAGCGGCATTGGATGGAAATCACCAAACACCTACCTGTGTCCAAATGGTACTTTTATGACTTGCAGTGGTGGGGACTGGATTACCCACCTTTGACTGCTTACCATAGCTGGATACTGGGTGTCATGTATGTTGAAGCATTGGGCATGAAATACAAGTACTAATCGTTGTAGTGGTTCTGCCATCAATTCGAAATGGTTCGCTCTCGACGAGTCGCGGGCGCTCGATGACCCTTCCCTCAAGATATACATGCGAGCGACCGTCTTCGTATCCGAATACCTCATTTACGTTCCCGCAACGATTATCTTTCTCCGCCGATACTCGCGACTGGAGGGCGTCAATATTTGGGAGTCGTCAATTGCGCTGGTTGCTATCCTGATGCAACCGGGGACCATATTGATTGACCACGGGCACTTCCAATACAACACGGTTATGCTTGGTTTCGCAGTCGCAACACTCTCGAGCATGATCGCTGGAAGACCGCTGTGGGGATGTGTCTTCTTCGTCGGTGCGCTTGGATTCAAACAAATGGCATTGTTCTATGCGCCTGCGGTATTCGCATACCTGCTGGGCATTTGTCTCTTCCCCAGGATCAACATCGTGCGGTTCCTTGCTATCGCGCTGACTACCGTGGCCGCATTTGCCGTGCTATTTCTGCCGTTCTTGATGGGTGTCGCATACGACAGATATACCCGCTTCAATTACGATCCTTTGGAGATGCCCCCGCTGCTGACCCTGAGATGGTTCATGACGCCGTGGAATATGAATGCCTGGTACTACCCATACGTTCTGGAGATGGGACAGGCGATCCACCGCATCTTCCCCTTCTCTCGTGGGTTGTTCGAGGACAAGGTTGCCAACATCTGGTGCACTATCCACACTTTCCACAAGCTTCATCGGTATCCGATCGAGCTACTTCAGCGTCTCGCGCTACTCGCCACGACCGCTGCGATTCTACCGCCATGTTTGATCATCTTTGTCAAGCCTAAGAAACAGCTTCTTCCACTGGCGTTCGCGGCGGTCTCCTGGGGCTTCTTCCTGTGTTCATACCAGGTGCACGAGAAGAATGTCTTGCTTCCGCTTTTGCCGATGACGCTGCTTCTTAGTGGAAAGGATGGCCTGCTACCCTCCACTCGCGCGTGGGTTGGTCTTGCGAACATGCTCGGTGTCTGGACCATGTTCCCGCTGCTCAAGAGAGACGAGCTACGAGTTCCGTACTTTGTCATATCCCTCTTGTGGGCCTATCTTCTTGGTCTCCCGCCCGTTTCTTTCTCTGCCTACCATGAAGGCAGCCGGGGTGGACTGAATATCTTCAGCAAAATCCTCCACCTCAACATCTACCTGGCCATGATTGGATGGCACGTTGCGGAGGCCTTTTACCCTCCCCCAGCCGACAAACCGGACCTCTGGGTTGTCGCGAATGCGATTGTTGGGACAGGTGGCTTTGGTATTTGCTACCTGTGGTGCTTGTGGCGACTTGTTGTCAAGAGTGAGTTGTTTGGAGCAGAAAAGAGCAAGACGCAGTAAAAGATTGGTGGATGTTCGTTGGTGCACTTCGGCACTTCTTCAAGATACCCAGGTAGATCATGGAGGGAAGATTTTGGTTCCTCATGTATAGTATTGTACATCGAATCTAAAAACGCGCATCGTGCGCAACGCCACCCATATGCTCGTGTTGTACATGTCGTATACAATTCCGTCCCGCGTTGCACTATATCTTGAAGCCGTATCCAGCCATGCACTTCTTGTAGTCGTCGACGAGGGTGAAGCACTCTTTCTGGGGGTCGTTCGATGTCGAGAAGAGCATGCATTCGTCGCGTTTGGCCTTTTGGTCTGTGCAGACGCAGCATGCTATTCAGGAGTCAGTACTAGAACAGTAGGTACCAAGAAGTTGGGTAGAAACTCACGCTTAACTTTGGCTGGCGCGGCGGTGTCCTTGAGGTCTGAGCCCATGTTGGCAGCGGTAGGCGGTGCTAGAACGCCATCAATTAGCTACTCTGCGTCGCATACAAGCCATCATCAAACCGCAAGCATACCTGACGACATTGTGAGTGTGGGTGTGTGGTGGAGGTGAATTGAAGATGCTTAGCAATCGCAAAAGTTCCCAGGACATGTCATCGGACTCCCGCGGCGCTCCATACGCCACACGAGCGAGGCTTGCACGGTTCGGCTAAAACCAACCCTGCAGGCGACAGGGGGTTCTAGACAATGAATCTCAATCAACCCCACTACGTTTTGCGCCCCACGACTCACACTATAAAGTATAAACAACAAACCCGCCCCCCTGTTGTGCTGCTTTCCGCTACTATATCCTCTCTGTAACTTGCAACGGGGCGTGCGAAACCATGGCCGGCGCAAAGATTTTTTCTATCGAGGGCAAGGGCCTCAAACTCACCACCGCCGAGGATATTGAGCCGCACATCCAGGACCTCAAGAGCAACGACGATGTAGAGGAGATCAAGTTCTTGGGCAACACTCTGGGTATTGGAGCCAGCGAGGCGCTCGCTAAGGTCTTGGAGAGCAAGAAGAACCTCCAGGTATGTTTACAGCCCCGCTCATCGGCGCTGGGATGCCAAAGACGGACTGACTGACATGAATCCCAGGTCGCAAACCTCGCCGACATCTTCACCTCGCGTCTCCTCTCTGAAATCCCGCCCGCGCTGTCACACCTCCTCACCTCCCTCCTCACGCTACCAAACCTCCACACTGTCGACCTCTCGGACAACGCGTTCGGCCTCAACACGGTTGCCCCGCTCGTAGACTTCCTGTCGCAACACACCCCACTCCGCTACCTATACCTCAACAACAACGGCCTGGGACCCGCAGCCGGTGTCCTCGTCGCAGATGCGCTCACCGCACTCGCCGCCAAAAAGGCCGCGGCGCGCAAAGACGGCAAAGAAGTCCCCGACCTCGAACTCGTAATCTGCGGTCGCAACCGCCTGGAGAACGGTAGCATGGGCGCGTGGGCGAAAGCCTACGCCGCCAACACGGGCGTCAAGACCATTAAGATGACGCAGAACGGTATCCGTCAGGAGGGTATCTCGCACCTCATCACCAACGGCCTCGCCCACCTCTCAAAACTAGATACCCTCGACCTCCAAGACAACACCTTCACAGCCATGGGCGCAAAGGCCCTCAGCAGCGCCGTCGGCAACTGGACTGAGCTCCGCGAACTCGGCGTAGGCGACTGTCTGCTCAGCGGCCGGGGCGGCGTCGCTCTCGCTGCTGCACTAGAGAAGGGCAACAACAAGAAGGTCGAGGTCCTGCGCCTCCAGTTCAACGACATCAACGCTAAAGGTCTCGCTGGCCTCGCTTCCGCTTCTCACACCGCACTCCCTGCGCTCCGTCGCGTCGAGATCAACGGCAACAAGTTCGACGAGGAAGACCCCAGCATAGAGAAACTGCGCGACGTCCTCGACGCGCGGAAAGAAGAAAGTGGTGAGAATGCGGACGACGAGGAGTACTGGGGTCTCGACGAACTGGACGAGTTGGACGACGACGACGAAGACGAGGAGGAGAGTGATGCAGAGGAGAAGCGTGGGGATGGTGATGATGACGAAGAGGGTGTCGAGGTCGAGGAGAAGGCTGCGAGGCAGGTTGCGGCGGATAACGAGGCTGAGGAGAGTAATGTGGGCCAGGAGAAGGATAAGAAGGTTGATGATTTGGCGGATATGATGGCGAAGACGGAGATCAAGTGAAGGGGTGGAGAGTGCACTGGATGGAACCTTGTCATGCATTTAGCGGCTTGGAATGGGATGGGGATGGCTTTTTGAGTAGGCATGTTTTTGAGTAGGCATGTAGGAATTGATACCATAGACGTTACTTCTGTTGGGTTCACACGAGGTGATCAAGCGCTGGGACATGTTGACCGGGAAGACATGTGCGATATATCTGTGGAAGGAGAGGGTAAAGTGTGGTTCATTAGGGTTTCCAGCGGACGGGTCATCTATGTATAGGTTCGTGACCTCTATGCCGCCTGCCCATGTTCGGTTATAGTGAATCTCGAATATCACCTGCACCTCTACCATCTTAGATACATCCCCGACATTCACGGACACTCCTATCATGTCACCCCCATGTCTCACTGCCTCATCGATCGTCCGCGTCATGGCTTGGCTCAGCCAGCAACTTTCCGTTCTCGTCCACTCGACCATGACCGTCCTGCACGAGCCTCTTCACGTGAGCTTCGTGCTCGTTATCCTCAAGCTCCTCATCAACCTTGTTAAGGTCCTTGTCGGGCTGTGACTGCTCTTTGCGGTGCTTAGTCGCGGAGGAGTTGGAAACATCGCTGAGAGACTCTTGCCTACGGGAAACGAAAGACTGTGCAGTGGGGCTGAGTCCGCTCTTCTCGGTGTGGCCGTTGGTCGGGATCTCTTGCGGCTGGACTGTTTTGGGGTTTGGTTGGGTAGAGAAGCCGTTCTCTCCCTTGGGCGAGACAGCAGAATTACCGTCTTGTAGATCGCCGTGATGTTTGGAGCCAGACAGTGTGTCACGGGAGTTGATGCTCTCGCTACTGGCGCGGGGACGTTCATCGCTGGCGCGAGCACTTCCGTTGCTGGCGTGCGATTCACAGAGCCCCAAGCATACATGTTCCTCAGTGCCGCGGTTGGCACGAGCATCGAGAGTCTGTGGATCATCCATCCCCGATGCGGCGGCAAAGCCCGCCTCGATCTTAGGCCTCATAGTCATCTCCGCATTATGGGAGTCATCTTCCTTCTCTTGACGAGACCGTTGCTGAGGTGATGTGAAGTTCCTACTGTTGGCACGAGATCTTCCGTTGACAGGACTCAAGATAGATCCAGTGCTGCTGCTCAGTGATAGCTGACGCTCACGTCTGGCCGCAACAGACTGCGCGACTGCGGCAATGCCACCCTTCTCAGTATGACCATGGGCGCGTGCCTCGAGAGAATGGAGATGATCGGCTTCAGCCTTGGTGACAGTGCCTTGCGCAATCTTGGGTTCGATCTTAGCGATTTCCTCCTGGAGCTCGGCTTCGACTTCAGGGTGAGGAGCATTGGTATGGCCGACGGCCTTTTGCAGTTCTATAGATTGTCAGTGTTTGTCTTGATGTGGAGCGAAGGATCAAGCGGGATGGCATGTGGAAGTAGGTACGTACTGCTAACGATGCTCTGGGCAACACGAAGAACCTCGGTGGTCGCCTCGTCAGGGCTGCCATCTACAGCGATATGCAGGTCCTTGGCGGCCATCAGCAGGGAACGATGAGAAGCCTGAGCTTGACTGGATCCCTTCTAATCCACACCTTGTTAGCAATAGCTAGGGATTCGACGGCAGAGATAATGCGGACCGCTCTGTCGTCACGTGTAGCGACGTTCTCAGATAGAATACGGGCTTCCTCGGCTGTGATGGTGCTCGGGTCTTTTCGCAGCTTCTTGAGGATGGCTTCCAATTGGTCTTGGAATCGCTGCGAAAGGGTGGTAGCATCGCTGCTCGCGTCAGAGGACACCTTCTCGCTGAGAATGTCGCTCATGGTGACTGATAGAGGTAGGGCTGTAGGTGATGCTTGAGTAGAAGAAGCGGTGGCTTGGAGCTGTGGAGAAGAAGGTGAGGTGGGTGTTTGTGTTTGCGTGCTTTATCTGTGACGATGACGTCGTGGGATCGCGTGTGGAAGGAAAGTGCAGGTGCAAACAATAAGATCGGACGACTCTGACAGCGGCTCTTTCCCGATGGTGACGAAGGCATCAATGTGTTCATAATGTGTTGCGGAACAATTCTCCGCGTCGTAATTGCCTCTTTGAAACATGCACTGATTGTACTGCGACAACGCAGATGAACCATCACATCGCATCAGGTACACAGAGATAAATTAAGAGTGAAAGTACAAAATACATACATTTCAAGTAGTTAAGAGCAGCAACGAATGACTGAGAATAAGATGTCAACATATTGATACATACGAATAACCATGGCAACGTCTTGCGAAAGCACGCGGGCCTGAAGTACACATGAAGACATCGAAAATCACCCATGTCAATTTCCAGTCCTGCTCGTTTCCGGTCAGCTGTTTCCTCGCTGTCGTCCGAGTCGCTTGTTAAAGCCATATCCTCAAATGGCTTCCTTGTCACGCTTTTCCACGTACTCATCAAACTCATCATCTGGCTTCGAACTTCAATAATCATTCGCCAACTCATCATATTCCTCGTCAAGGCCGGGTGGCATCGCCAAACCGCCTTGGTCGGGATCGCGTTCAAGACCGTAACCGTAGGGTTCGTCATCGCCGTCTTCTTCGGAATCGTAGTCCTCATCGCTACCGTCCGGCGAAACTGATTTCTCGATTTCGCTCTCGTCGTCCTCGTCCTCGTCCTCGTCTTCTGCTTTGGTGGGTTCGGGCACTGGGGCGATTGTCTTGGGTTGCTGCACTTCGGTGCCGCTCTTCTCATTGAGGTCTTTGGATGTCGCATCTTTCTGCTGCAATGCAACATCGTCATTTGGTTCATCGCGAGCTGGGGCTGCTTCCGTAGCTCCAATACTCTCTAGCTCCGCTGTCGATGTTGTTGGGTCCGTAGGGCCGACTTTCTTGGCTTTCTTCACGCCATTAGATGGCTCGCTCGATACGTCGAGGTCTTCGGATGCTGCGCGCTTCAATGATGATGTTTCAGTCATGGTGGTCAATTAAGATTGTGAGATGGATTTGAAGGAAGTTCAGAGTGCGAAGGGTCGACGTTGGAGGTTAATAGGGGCCGGGATCAGCATGATGACGGAAGAGGTCCTTCGCAGCCCTCCATGGATCGGGAGTGATATCCCAGCTGTGGCGCAGATGAGCTAACCTACCTGGTTGACACGACTTATCGATTTGTCGAGTTAGGAGTTGGGACCGTAAATCTAGCTTAGGAATAAAGACATCGGTTTGAGAGTCCTGGAGGTCAGGCAATATCTCTCGACGTATTCGAAACTGTGCTCATGTCTTTAGTCTATACAAATCAGTGCCCGCCATGCTGTGGAGCAATATGAGGGCTTATTAATAACCCATGCTCTACTCAACTGAGGGCGTCGCGCGAGAGTGTTGAAGTCAAGGGAAACTTGTTACGAAGTGGTGACAATGAAATGCCCGCAGATGACTGCAAGCGATACTTTCCGTTGCTATAGCCGTTGGTAAAAGATGGTGGTTTCCTTACCTTGCGATGCGCGATGACGCGGCCACTGCCGAAAAGCCGAACAGCAGGGATGTCTCCTCACTAGCCCCACCGAAATCCAGCTGTCAAGCCTCACCTACCCACCACCCTCTGCCTGATTCAATGTCCTGCGCCACATATATGTCGACGGAGCCAGAATGGTCAGCGCCCAAGATGTTGCGGCTCGCCAGTCGCACATGGGGACAAACGATCAAGAGCAAGCGCAAGCCGCGCAGATGATCCAGCGCAACTATCGCGGCTACCGGGAGCGCAGGCAGCTCCAAGGCATGGGCCTGGATGCTAGCGCACGGTGGGCAGAGGTGGGAGACGTTCGCACTACATAGAGAGGTGTGGCTAATGGTACCAGGCGATACGCGACGGTTAGCAGTCCACCACCCTCTCTACTGCGCCCAAGCTAAACCTCTCAAGCGAAATGGCGCAATGCGACGAAGCCCAAGCCGCGCTCGGAAGACGCGGCTCTGCGCGACAACCTCACTACCCCCGAAGCACGTGAACGAGCGAACTCCATAGCAGCGCGCGAGAAGTGGAAACGAGTCGGCGAGATTGCGCGACGAGCGGGCGCTGACGATCCCCACGATGCCTCAGAGACGGACGACGAGGATGCGCCCGAGAACCACACGGAACAACGACGGAAGCAGAACGAGTCCAAGGCGGAGCGCGAGAAGACTGCCAAGATGATGGACCTCCAGTACTTCCTGGAGATGGTGGACCAGAAGCATCGCTACGGCAGTAACCTGAGAGCCTATCACGAGCAGTGGAAGAAGGCAGAGACTCACGAGAACTTCTTCTACTGGCTCGACCATGGCGAGGGTAGGCACTTTGAGCATCCGACCGTCTCTAGAGAGAGGCTCGACACAGAGCGCGTGCGCTATCTGTCGCGGGAGGAGCGTCAGAATTACCTGGTCACCATTGACGACGAGGGTCGTCTATGCTGGGCGAAGAACGGAGAGCGCCTAAACACGACCACGGAGTACAAAGATAGTGTCAACGGTATTGTACCGGTCGACGATGACACTCCTGCCTACGGTCCCAAAGCAAAGCTGCACTCTGGACAAAGCAAGACCCTGCGACGAAGTTCAATGATCTCGGTGAGCTCAAGCTCGTCTATATCTGAGAGCGATGCGGAGGCAGAGGAGGCAGAACACTACGTCAATGAGGACCTCGACAAAGCTAAGGGCGTTTCGAAACTCAAACATGTGTCAGCCGCGACTATTCTGAACCACCTTCTCCGTAGTTCAGTGAAGCCGAACTCATGGATATTCGTAAGTTGTGCACTCTCCTCCGTCGGCCAGATGTACTAAGCAAGCACAGGTAGCCGACACGTCCTTCCGCCTGTACGTCGGGATCAAGCAATCGGGTGCTTTCCAGCACAGCTCGTTCCTCCACGGTGCGCGCATATCTGCCGCAGGTCTGATCAGAGTCAAGGATGGTCAGCTTCGGCGCCTCTCACCCCTGTCCGGCCACTACCGACCGCCGACGAAGAACTTCCGTGCGTTCGTACATTCCATGAAGGAGAACGGAGTGGACATGTCGCGTGTCTCCATCTCCCGGTCGTATGCTGTCCTCGTCGGCCTTGAAGCTTACGTTAAGACACGCAAGAAGTTCAAGCATGGGGTTGAGCACGTCAAGGAGGCCGAGACAAAGGTCGTGCACCCGGAAGAATACGAACGGAAGGTGGAAGAGCAAAAGGATAAAAGCGAAAGCGCGCAACGAGAACGGCAGTTGCTTGCGCAGGAAGCAGAGAGGAAAGAGGCAGAGAAGAAACAGACTAGTCTTGGACGGCGAATATGGAAGAGGCTCAGTCGAGACCGCGGTGAGAACGGCGACCTGACACCCAAAGAACGGGAGGCCGCTAAGCAGAAGAGGAAAAAGTGGTTGAGCAAGTCGGGGGAAGATGTCGAAGATGGGATTGCGCCTGACGGACGTCGGGAGTCTGCCCCCGCGGTGTGAGCGGCTGGCTGCGATGCGAGCTACGAAGCGGGCTGCTGCTGTTCCTGCATGACCCCATACTCACCTCCGTGCCTTCTACCTGTGGCTTGATTTCGCGTGGTCATGATATCCTCTCTTGTCGATTTGCCTAGAACCATCAGTAGACCTGAAGTCGTAGAACGAATAGCATTCCTAAAGATAGCATGCATGTGGCATTATTCGCGCGTGTCATTGCACGATCATCGCGCGATCAACGTCCGTCTATCGAAAACGCAGAATCCAGGAACCAGAAAGCAGGTAATGGCTTGACTCGGTGGCGGACAATTACTTTCCAAGCCTGCGGACCCCGTTCCGTGCCGCCATCATTCTTACGAACGGCGGCGACTGACATCATACGCGTCGTCACGGACCCAGATTTCCCATCTTTGTTTTGGGGGTTGGGAAATGTGTCTTTGTTTGACAACCTGTTATTTGGGCATGACTCGGCAGCGGGCAGGATAGGGGTACCTGAGATGAAGTGATCGATCGTGCGTCTGCGCAGAATTGCTTGTGCAGTTGTGGCGCGAGGATAATTATGGGTACGACGGACATGTCTCGATCGAGACGGCCTGTCGTGATCGAAACCACGTTGCGCATACAGAAGACAGCTAACAGCTGCAAGTCAGGGTCAATGAATTGCCCGGAGGTAGGTACCACGGGAATATAACGATTGGGTTTGCTGCAGCCTCTTAGCGGTGCGTGGTGTCACTCGCAGTTGGGATGCGGCCAACGTCCCGACCGTTGCGCTGGAGCCCCGCCGTTCATCGCGGCACAGTCCAACTTCACCATGACCACGGCGCAGGCCTCTTCGGACATGAAGCTATTCGGCATCACTCTTCCGAATTCCGTCGTTCCTGATCTCCGCCCGCCGCAGGGTCCCTCATCTCCCATGCCGTCTTGCATGTCGCGGTGATGGCTGGTGGTGCTCACGATGGTGGTACCGAAGACTGGTAGCATGCAGCGATCGGCCGCCAAAAGGAAGCTACGACCCCGCTAAGCGACGTTTGAGCAGGGGAGCTCCCGACACCATGACGTCAGGCGCCCGACAACATCATACGCGTCGCTGCAACCTGCTTGCACACACGGCACGACTTGCTCTTCCATCCTGCTGCATGCGCCCTAATGATAGGAGGGATACACTGCCGCCAGGGATTCCGTACCCGATGCTCGACAAGGCCAGCCACAGTGCCGTCGATCGGGCCTGGGCTCTGTGTGCTTTTGCTCCACCAGCTCGTTTCGCACTGCACTCATGCCTGCGAAGGCGTATCGACCGCCCGGTATTGGCCTGCCTGAGATGACACATGTCTCCCCAACCTCACTTCCTGCATGCCATTGGTATCCTTCCTGCAAACTAACCTCGTCCAGTGCAAAGAGTACCGTAGGCAGCCTTTTCGCTAGAGCGTTTCAGCTCCACTTCCGGCTGCAATTCAACTCCAACCCTGGCAGCAGCCCGCTCTCCGCGGTTCATCGACGATGTTAGGCCATCCCATTTCCAGCCACAGGCCGTTCCCACCCCTGTTGCAGCAGCTACCCGCTTGTCTCACCACGCTGAGTGGAGGCCATGCCACCAGGATGCGCTGACGCCCCGCTCGAGGCTGGAGCTTGTGAGTAGTGTGACGCAATACTCCTCCTGTTCGTTGCACACACTATGGCGCCAAAGCAGGTTTACTCTGCCTCTCCACAACTGAGGCGCAAGCTCTTGCTCCTGGAAACCAGCATTCGACGTCATCCGTTCCAGCATGCTCAATTGAGGAGTAGTTATCATAAATGCCTGCTTCTCTGTGATCCTTCCGCACTTTCTGATCCCTACAAAGACGAACCATTCGTCAATTGATATATGACAGACGAACACTTTTCCTCCCACAACTACTCGTACTACTCTTTCCCCCCAACCCCTAATAGACATTCCCCCCGGTCTACACGCTCTCAGTCTATATCAAGCAACGTATCAGGAAGCGGCCATCATCGAGCTACTTCCTACAGCACCTCATCCTACACAGTGAATCACGGACACGACAACTCCTACAACGTCTCGAGCGTTCTATTCAACAACATGCCTTCCCCAGCAGCTGGAAAGGGTGACACCCCCCGCACCCCTACCAAGCTCGGACGAAAGCCACAATCATCTGCCCCCAAGCTGAACAAGCCCAAGTCGGAGGACGCCCCCACCCCCGATGTGCCTGAGCAAGCCGAGGACGTAAAGAAGCAAGGAGAGGAGAAGGCCGAGGACACCAAGAACCAGGCACAAGACACCGCCGAAGACACCAAGCAAAAGGGCGAGGAGACTGCCCAAGATGCCAAGGGCAAGGCGGAAGAGGCTGCTGAAGACACCACCGGCAAGGTATCACAAGCTGGTGACGAACTAGAGCAGGCCGACCCCAAGCCCATCGACGACGACAACGACGCCGACGAGGAGGCTGAGGAGACTGGCGACGACGCTACACACAAGGCAGGAGACGATGCGGAAGACACCGCAGAGGACACTGCCGACAACACAGAGGA